TCTAATGTATGGCATTAACAGCTTTAATAAATTGACTTTAATTTTGTATAGTCTTTACACAGGAGATAGAGGTGAGAAACATTGGATTACATACATGTACATATAAATATATTTTAATCAATCAAATGTCCGTTCATTTAATTCGTTGCATAACTATATGTTAATCAGTTGCCAATTAATACAGTTATCCGTTATTTCATTGAATTTAAAATTTGATTGCAATCTTAAAGAATGAATCATATTTTAAAATTTAAATTAATAAATCTTATATTTATTTTTATGTTTATGTTCTTATGTTTTAATATCAACATGTTAATTTTTATACAAACAACTATTATTAGCTTTTAATTGAGTTTTATTTCCTTATGTAATGTTAAATAACTTTTATTTTTATTTAATACAAATTATTAGAATACAAAATAATTAACAAAATCACAGATATATTTATTATGTTATATTATATAACTTACATAATATAATGCATTCTTTTGCTTTATAATTGCATTCATGTCTAATACAAGTGATGATTTTAAATCGTGTTTAATTTTAAAGTAAATATCTATTAAAAGGTTATGTTTATTAAAAACTTGGTGATAACTATTAATAATATAGGACAAGTTCGTTAAATTACCATTATTAAAACAACAAAAAATTGATTTAATTGATTTAACTTTTATTATTAATAGCAACTATACTAAATGTTTAGGTACTAACTATAACTAATGAACATGAAAAATTTAAATTGTGGTATTTTGTACAGCAATTAGAATAAGTGAATATTTAATCACACACTTGGCTGGGTGCTTTTTAATTTACAATAAACTAATTTAGTATAACATAATTAATAATTATTAATTATATTTAATGATAATCATTTAAAATTCTCTCGCATTTGTAAACATGTGTAAAGGATTTTCAAAAAATGTTAACAAAATATATTGCATTTTAAAAATACAGGATATGGTTTAACTACACGATTAAAGTTATAATCAAAACAAATATTAATAACATTATGATTTTGATTATAACAATATAAAATAATTTCAATAATTTCAACCAAGAATTATACACAACATTACTGTCAGTAAACATAGTGTAAAAATAGTTGCTTTCAAATAACTTCTAGATTGTGAATAATATGCTATACTTAACTCAATGATTAAAACAAACTAATAATAAACAATCAATTGATAGCATACCTCTTAAAACTCGTCAATTTGATTATCATAACAACAAAAGGGATACAAAACATGTCTAAAATAGCAATAATACGTATTAATACTAGTAATAGTAATCCTTAATTCAATAAATATACAGAATATCACAACTATTCCATCAATTTTCAAACTGGTGTTAAACAACATTACATTTGTAATTATTATTATTCTACATAATTCACGTGTTACAATTATAATGTTCAAATTATGCTATAAATTACCAATTATTTGGACAATTTTAATGCAAAACTATTTATCAGTTTATTTTATATTAAATAAAATTTAAAATAATATATAGAATTGAATTCTTGGTCAACAAAAAATAAAGTAAAATAAGGTTTACAAGCAAGTCAAATGAATAAGTTATATGCTAACTTCATTTGAATAAAAATTAGAGTATTTTAATCGAGGTTCTGTTTGTAAAATTCTAATATTCTACTAATTCTAAAATTATATAGCTCATGAACTTAAACTGGGAACTTATATTAAATGCCATAGGGTGTGAGGGGACCGCGTTAATTTATAATCCTAAATGTTCATGTTGAACTGAGCTATAATAAGTTTGTTTCTATTCTTTGTATTGAATTCTGTAAATATTGAGTTTTAATACCTGTTTGTGTACTTTTATGCTGAACTTTACAATAGGTTTCAATAAAATTGTCATTAATGAGAATATTCAACATTTATTGCATAATTTAGATCTCAAATCAGGGATAGTATCCCAGAATACAAAGAATTTGCCAAAATACAAATTTAAAAGCATTAAAAACAATATGATGTGAAACATCTGTTGTGTAATACAGTCAAACGTCTATGCTATCAAATACTCTATGTTATCAAGTTGATAATATCAACAATACAAAATTAATGTTAAAATGTTGTCAACTAATCTATGTTATTAACCAAATCCCAAGAACCATTGTGTTGTTAGAATAGATGTTTGACTATAATGCTTTTTCTATTAAATAGTTGTTTTAAATTCACAATTTTTAAATATTTATTGATTTGTAATCAAATATTAGGATAAATAAATTATAAGAATGACAATTGCTTTTACACATTATGCAACTGTATGATACCTATTATTTAGTACATTAAAGTGCCTATTATACAGTATTATCTATTGATCTCTATTATTATGTCATATAATAGTATGTTATGATATAATTTATATAATTAAATACTAAAACTTATTTGTGGGTAAATTATAAGAAAAGGCAAACATAAAAATGAAATATAAATTTGATTATAAATATGAAAACTATTTAATCTGAAAGATAATGAAAGTTAGAGATAAGCGATCGCAGAGTTGGCAGAAATGAGTGCAAAGACAACATTACACTGCAAAACACATTCAGACAGTGTTTTTTAAAATGCACTTTAATTCAAAACAAGCCAACAAATCATTTTGTGCGCAAATCCAATAAATAGATTAATTAAACAATTAATAAATTAATTTAAACTAATGTAATGGCAAAATACAATAAAGGTAAAAATGAGATTGAATAGTGTTAGCTGTGGTAATGACAATACAATCCCTATGTTTGGGCGCCGAGAGTGTGTGTGAGTGAAACGAGAGATACGTTTGGCATTAATGGGCAGAAAGTGTATTGAATTGAAGTGTGGCTCCACTTTAGACACCGGCTCTCCATATCAAACACACTAACCATTCAATCCATTCATTAATTATTGTTGTAATCAACACATCATTACAATTGTTGTTTGCGATCATTATTTCTCACACATCTCTACACACGAGTGTCCGACCACTAAATCACCACATTTTTTGTTGCCTTTATATCCAATAGTTTTGTAATATTGTTTTGTTTTGTTTGCCAAACGTTGTAAACACCAAAAGCACACATTTATTTCATGACTAAAAGCCATCCTTTTGTTGACTATATTTTCAAAAATTAACAATAAATGTGTGTTTATTTGAGCACTCATTTGCTGTGATTCAATGTATCGCTCAATCAATACATTCATTATTAGTCCACTAATGGTGTGATTATGTAATTGTATGCAGAGATTAGTGTGAAATATAAGTGATTATTTGTGTTGTGTTTTCTGCCCCTCAAAGTAATACCGATTGTCATCATTAATAATAATAATATCGTAATTAATAGTTATAATTGTAATCATAAAAGAGTAATATTAAGTGCGATAATAGTGTGCATCAAATGGCAGGTAATATACCGTACAATACATTGATATTTGATTTGTGTTATTGTGTGAGACATGAGTGCAGTCTCTGTGAGAGTGTTGTGTATGTATTGTATGTATGGATGGAGTGATGGCTCGACACACGACTGTGTGATCAGTTGGTTGGCTATCGCACAGCCCTTTCCTACCGGTGCTCTCTCTCACTCTCACAGCCCATCTCTCTCTCTCTCCTCCACACTCTCTATATGTCTGTGTATTTGAAACTTATTTCTCAGACAAGTGTTGACTCTTTTTGCACTTGAAGTCAACACTAAATCACTCATTGGTTTTGCGTTGACTTGTATTCAAATGAATCAATGCTTTCATACGTTGATTGCTGTATAAAAGCGTTTACATGTAATAATCAAATACCTGTATAGAGAGATACAGTAGATGTGTGTTATTTGAATGGCTTTTTATCATTTCATTTTCATATCTATTGCTTTAGTTTTGATTCATTACTGATTTTGCATTATATTTACCATTCAATGACTGTTTAATCGTTGATTTCATTAATAATTTATTGATTTATAATTATTTATTGATTTTCTCTTAACTCAATGCTCAACAGTATTCAATGTATATCTAATTTACAACAAACATTAATTTCAATTAACAATCATTTGTCTGTTTTTCTCTCCCTTTAAAGCCTGAATGGTTTCAATGAATGGTTAATAAAATATTAATAATATATTTAAATAATGTTTAGAAATGATAGTTAAGTCCTAATGAATGGGATTTAATTGCATTGACTGTTGTATTAATTGTGTTTTTATGATTGAAGGAAACGGCGAAATTCAATGGACTTTCTCTCAGGTCAAAGGAACTCTTGAGGACGAAGTGACCGATGGTTTGTTACCATTCATACTGATTGATGATTTGATTGACGACTAACTATTGATTTTGTATTGCCATTGAAAGCCGATATCATTTCATGCGTCGAGTTTAACAGCGATGGCGAGCTGTTGGCCACCGGAGACAAAGGCGGACGAGTCGTCATCTTCCAAAGGGACCAATCGGTCGGTGATGTCATCTAATCGTTGATATTATTTAGCGTTTGAATTGTGTGTCCGTTTTGAGCCATTTGTTAATAATATTTGGTGATTGTGTTGCAGTCGGTGCCGAACAACCGAAGAACGGATTACAACGTCTACAGTACTTTCCAAAGCCACGAACCAGAGTTTGATTACTTAAAAAGTCTTGAGATCGAAGAGAAGATCAACAAAATCCGATGGTTGAGGCGTAAGAATGCGGCCAACTTTCTGCTGTCCACCAATGATAAGACGATTAAACTGTGGAAAGTGTCGGAACGGGACAAACGCATCGACGGCTACAATCTGAAGGACGACAGCGGGCAGTTGCTTAGGGACCCCAACTCTGTCACAGCCCTACGGGTGCCGATCCTCACGCCTATGGATCTCACCGTCGAAGCTAGTCCTCGAAGAATCTTCGCCAACGCACACACCTATCATATAAACTCGATTTCCGTCAACAGTGATCAGGAGACATACCTGTCCGCCGATGACCTCCGCATCAATCTCTGGAACCTCGAGATCACAGATGAGAGCTTCAGTCAGTCTTTTTAGAGCCGCTATTTTTGATTGATTAGTGATTTTACTTATTATGGTTTTCATGGTTTAGATATCGTTGACATAAAGCCAGTCAATATGGAAGAGTTAACGGAAGTGATAACGGCAGCCGAATTCCATCCGTCACATTGTAATCACTTTGTCTACAGCAGTAGTAAAGGGATTATCCGATTGTGTGATATGAGAGCCGCCGCTCTCTGTGATCAACACGCAAAGAGTTAGTTCCACTCAACCCTACCATTCAATGCGATACTTATTGTTGTTATTATTGTTTTGTGTGAATAGTATTCGAAGAGCCCGAAGACCCGACGAATAGGAGTTTTTTCTCCGAAATAATATCGAGTATTTCTGGCATAAAGTTCTCAAACAACGGCCGATATATGATATCTCGCGACTACTTATCAGTGAAAGTATGGGATCTCAATATGGATTCGCGACCCATAGAGTCATATTTAGTTCACGAATATTTACGTTCAAAACTCTGCAGTTTATACGAAAACGATTACATTTTCGATAAGTTTGAGTGTTGTTTCAATGGCACCGATTCGTGAGTGCTATCCATTATTGATTACTTGTTGTGCTTTTGCTAATTGTATGGTTTGTTTCCATGTGATGGCAGTTACATAATGACGGGATCGTATAATAACTTCTTTAAAATTTTCGATCGACAAACAAAACGTGATGTTATGCTCGAGGCGTCCAAAGAGATCGCAAAACCGCGCACTATATTAAAGCCGAGAAGAGTGAGTGTTGTGTTGATGTGTAATGAATGGATGTCTAATGTGTTGATGTATTGATGATATGATAGGTGTGTACATCTGGTAAGAAGAAGAAGGATGAGATAAGTGTAGACAGTTTAGACTTTAACCGCAAGATTCTGCACACGGCGTGGCACCCAAACGAGAACATCATAGCCGTCGCCGCCACCAATAATCTGTACCTCTTTCAAGACAGACAATAGTATAGAGTTATTTAGTACTCAAATTTCAGATACCCTTTAAACTAAACGAACCAAACATTTTCATCACTTTTTCATAATGTGTTCAAATTTATTCAATATTGAGGTAAACGATCGTTAAATTAATATTTAAAATTTGATAATTATTTGTGAATAAAAATTGTGATTGTTTTTGTTTATATTTTATAAAAAATAATTGCTTTTATTTATATTCTAAATGTATTTTGTATTGAATTTTGCAGTTTAAAAAAGCTATGACTGACCCGAACCGGCATTTATAAAGTGCTGCTATTCTTATATCATTGCATCACAAAAACCAAAACATTTCTATCATTTCATCTAATTTTTAGAAATTGATTATATTTTTCTGTGAAATCGTATTATTATTATTATAATTATTATTTAAAACCCAAATGAAATGTTTTTATTTATCAAAAACTCTGTCGTATTAATTGTGGAGACGTTAAACTAATTGAGCGATTGTCGGCAATATTGACCGATCGCTTCATAACTGATGCTAAATATTATATTTAAATATATTTTTGCTCAAAAAGTAAGAAAATAATGACTGTTTGGAAGACAAGACACTCTTCTAAGTGTATCCCTAAATGTAAAGCCTATTATTCCTCAACATTTTCTATTGTGACGTAAATTAATATATGATTTGTTGTGTGCCTTCTCTTCTCGTCGACTCTCAAATCGTATCCAAAAAACACATTAAAACACATCAAAAACAAGTCGATTAAAAGTCAAAACAATTATTTAAATATAAGTTATACACCAATTTGTACACTCATTGACGACTATTTGCAGCAATATTTGAATATTATATTAGAAGAGCACTAAGAAAAACAGTTTTGCCTCATTCAATGTTAAGTGAAATGATTTTAGTTTATTATTAGCCAATAGTTTGTCATTAATTAAATATAAATTAATTGTTATTCAAAAGAAAGAGAAAAAATGTTTTAAATTAACGATAAAAATAAAGTAATTGTAATCAAGAATTTAAATGAAATACATAATAGGAAAATTGTAAAAATATATTAAATACATGTTTTGTATAATTATTTACTTTTAAATTAGAAATAAAATAAAAGTACAATTGTTTTTAGAAGTAATTTCATTATTGTTTTTCAATGTCTTTTTGGGAGAACTTATTTAATTATAGCAATCGATTGGAAGAGTTTGAGACATATTTTTTAATGAGCAGAATATGTATTGTGTGTTCCGTAAGTGTATCGAGAATTACAACAAATGGTTAGTCGTTAGCAATCACTGCGAAAGACTGGTTCAGTGTTGGCCCAAAATATGGGTCACTAAACCTTGAAACCAGTTCTCGTCCTCCAAAATAGCTTGTCTTCAATATACGAGTGCTTTATATTTTTGAGCTTAACTTAACATTACATTTAAGTTAATTCTTATGACAGACATCGCAATCGTTTCTCTGCCCAATATATTGGCCTTATTTGTGGTGCCTTTGCATTGAGTACTCATTTCTGGTCTTCATTTCAAACGATACTTCATTTGTATTTAGTTAACACAAAAATGACAATATATTCAACACATTCTAGTCGTAAATGTCTTAAGATTTTCATATGAAATGTTTGTTGGAATCAACTTCTCTGTGCTTTTCGTTTATTTAAATTTCGGTAAAAGTTTATTGAATTAATATTTTCAAACACCAAAAATCACGGTATGTTTTACTTTATTGGCAGTCATTATACAATGCGATGAATACCAGGGATCTTATTTGGGAAAATTCAACACTTATGCACATCAAGTGAGCGGTGATGTCTATGCCATCGATGAATACACTTTTCTCATTAAAAACTTCTTCTACGATGGATTAGGACAGGGTTTGTATGATTTGTACCCTTTATTTCAATTATAACTAACTCTTTATCGTATATATGGTTTACAGACGCGTACTTCTGGTCGGGCGCTACCGTCAGACCCAGTAATATAGGGTTTATAATACCCGACGAAAATGGAAAGACCAATAAATTGCGTCAATATATCACTAAAGACATCACTATTAGGATGTCTGAAGACAAGAAAATTACGGCAATTAAATGGCTGTCCGTTTGGGACATAAGAGATAATAGAAATTTTGCCGATCTTTATATTCCGGACGGCTTTCAATCTCCGGCTCCACAAGACATCTCAGAACTCTCGCGTCTGTCACACGACGTGAAGTCGGGTCCCATCTCTATCGTCGACTCCAAGACCATCAAAATACCGGATCTCACTTATGACGGGTTGAGTAAAAGTGCATACTTTTGGGTGGGAACGGGTCCACAGCCGAACTCAGCCGGAAAGAAGATCCCAAATGAGAGGGGATAGTAAGCGATACAACATTTA